CTATAAACATGTCTTGACTGTTTATTGTACTCATAATTCACACAAGTTACCATTATGTCCTTGCTTCTTATTGCAGAACTTCTATAGGAGGATGTAACAGGTTCTTACCATCTCCATCCAAAACTCTGATTTTCAGGCTGCTGCAGCATAGCAGACACTTGATATATAATAGCTCTAATTAGAACTATTACTGTGATACATGTAGCTAAAAAAAAAGAGGGGGGATTAGAACTGTGTAAGCACTGCGCTGGGAACAGTGACAAGAGAATTAGCTGCCCATCTGTATTCAGAAGCAGAGGTTGGATAAAGGCTCTAGGAGATTACCAGCAGCCTTTGGAGCTGACCTTGTGGTGGTCCAAGCATGTACTGATTTCAGCATATGGCAGATAATTAGAGCATCTAGGGGCACAGGTTGATGACTCCCTGGTGAAGGGGAGCATTCTGCACCCTCTACAGAACTGACAGCCAAATAGATACTAATGCCACTTCCTATTCATTTCCTCAACTTGCTCCCGTTGAAAGACAGCCTGGCAGAGGAGGAAAAAATCCCAGTTTGAATATTTATAATCCAGTCCACCCATGTTCTGTCCATTTCTTTTGCCTGCGGATCCAACCAACAATAGAAAAAATGGTGTATTTGTCAACAGTGAAAACAATCTCATAAAAACTAGAAAAAAATTTTACTTTGCATTTAATTTTAGAAGATAACATTTGTCACATACAGATTAGGTATCTAAGTTGCCTAGTAGGTACTTTCCCTTTTGACCCTAAATTTCCCAGTAGAATCATTCACTTCGCAATGTGTTTAGACATCCCTGTAATGTCTTTGCCTATTCATCCCAGAGGTGCTTTCGAAGGCACAGCTAACTCGAAAGGTTCTTTACCTCCAAGGATGTGCCATCACCAGATTCTCTTTCAAAGCTGAGAGTCTTCTTTACCATACGTAGGAAGCTTAGGATCAACACCAAAATAAATAACACCTTAAAAGTCGGAACATTTCTGTAAACAATTGGACATTAGAGGAGACAACACACATTTACATTTCTAATGTAAAGCTCAGTATTCAAAATGTAGTTGCTTGCAAATGAAAATAAATGTAAATGATGTTTTCATTGCTTTCCCTTCCTGCCCAATGTAAACATAGCTTAGGAAAATGTCACAGACCTTTCACACTGTGTCCGAAAAACTCTGCATTTCTCATGAAATTCACTTCATTAAGTCATCACATCGCAGCAATGGTTTGATGAAAACTCATCCTTATTGTTCTCTATTAGTTTATTCTTATATTCAGATGTCTTCAGATTCCACCTGTTTAATTTGTTCTTGTAGTTTGTCTCTGTGCACTCATTACTATTTCGTTTGCATGCAGTCAGTAAGATTGGACTAAATTGTAGCCATAAATGACAGCAGGGGTCTGCAGCCGTATTTCCCATAGTGAGGAGAGGAATATCTTTCTTCCCAAGAGATTTTCCCACACATCACTGCCTGATACTGACTGGGGATGCAAGTAATGGTGTAGAACCACATAGATGGTCATAAATAGAGACCTGTCCTAATTTGAATTAAGCTGTGAAACGTAATATCCCATCAGCCCAGGTAACTTCTCCAGATCCAGTTCATAGGCCCTCATGCAACTATCAGAAGCAGGATTGTTTTTTCCTTTTTTTTTTTTTTTTGTTGAGGATATATGAACCTGGGCCTCAAGTAACTTTTCTTTCATTGGAGATTGGTTTCAAATTGTATATTCTTTGGAATAGTTTCATAGGCATAGAATGCCTCTATGGTAACCAGACTATAAGAATTGCTTATACTAGCTCAATTTGTAAATTTACTTAGAGGAAGAGAAGGGAAACAAATACCATCTTTAGAATATAATCCATCTAGAGTAGAAACAATAAATATTTGCTCACAAACTTAATGATGAGAAAAACTAATGATCTTAGAATATGTAATTTGTAGAGCCTGCCACAGTAGCCTAGAGCCTAGAATCCTCGTCTTGCATGTGCTAGGATCCCATATGAGCGCCAGTTTGTGTCCTGGCGGCTCTGCTTCACATCCACCTCCCTGCTTGTGGCCTGGGAAAGCAGTCAAGGAGAGCCCAAGGCCTTGGGACCCTGCACCTGTGTGAAGACCCAAAAGAGACTCCTGGCTCCTCACTTCAGATCAACTCAGTTCCAGCCATTGTGGCACTTGGGGAGAGTGAATCAGAGGATGGAAGATTTTCATCTCTTTCTCCTTCTCTTTGTATATCTGACTTTACAATAAAAATAAATAAATCTTAAAAACAAGAAATTATAATTTATAAAATGTATTTTGTAGTCCCAGGACCTAGCCCAATGTGTAGCACAAGATTGTAACTCATTAGAAGATACAGATGTTTGATTGCAACTCTTAGGTGCACCCTAAGACAAAGCTTTTGGGACATTAAGTTAAATCACTATCTCATGACAGTCACATGCATGACACTTAGTGTGATGTTCCTGGATGGTCTCCCACGATTCCCACCACAGCTTTCTGATCCTGCCAGAATGATCAGTTGATCTGCCAGAATCTAGGTACTGTCTTGTTCCTACTTGGAATTTGGTAAAATCACAACCATTTACATGGTCAAGGAACTGAGATACAGATAAGGACAAGCAACTACTCAGAGAGCAAATCCTGTGACTAAGGTTGGGACCCCTGTCTGCTCCTTCTGACTCCTGGGTCCTGGAATCCAGCTGCTTTAGAAACGCAGGTCAGGCTCCAAACCAACTGGAAGCATGTGTTGACGTTGTCACCCATGTGTTTAGACAAGTCAAAGATGCACAGGCGCCTGGAACGTTTGATATTTAAATACAGGTGCCCCTGCTTAAAGCAAAACAGTGAAAACATGCTGTTCGCCTTTCAGGTCTTCTCCCTCTCAAGTGTGTGTGGTGTGTTTGTGTGTGTGTGTGTGTGTGTGTGTGATCTGCATGGCCAGAGACAATTGCCAGTAAGATAATTTAAAAGAGTAATAACAACGATCCCTCAACAAGGGCATGTGCTAGTGAAGGCTTGTTTTATTTTACTTTGTTTTTGCCATTACTGTTCCTCATAGGCCAAAGGGGAAAAGCTGAATTCCTTTCCACCCTTTCTTCCTTCTCATGTATTAAGGCAGATTAGCCAAAGTGTTGGCCTGTGGGTCTCAGCAGAAGGAAGGGGTCAGGTTCCTGATAAGGTAGAGCCCATGGGTCTCTCCTTCCCAATCACTGATTGCTGGTGGCTTCTTGTTGTCGTAGCTACACTGTCTTTGTTTTCCATTCTCCCAACACACAGAACAACAACACTAACAGCCGATTGCAGCCCTGAGAGACCACATTAGATTCAGAAACAATTTTGTTCTTACTTGAAGGATATAGTTGTTAGGCATCAGATAGAAGAAATCAGGACTCTGTCAGCAAAGCAAGACCTCTAGGTCTAAACTGTAGCTTTTATTAGATTAAATGTGTCCTTATAAGCAAAAGCACCAGTTCATTCCCCTGCCTTCTCACTTTTAAACAGAGAAACATTTCATGTTTCAGGACTGACCTGTATTCAAAGTATTTTGCACCTGGGCTGTCAGAGAACTGAGAAGTCTTTAGCAATGCTCTTAGGAAGAAACCCCAGTTTTTAAGAAGTTCCAGTATCAGTGGTTCTTGTTTTCACACTGTGGTAAAAAATGAAGATGCCATAAAAAGCTTTACGAACTTCACTAACTTTACTAAGGTGTTCACACTGTCAACTGGGCTACCTATAACAAACCTGAAATTGCTGTTTGGCTTTCGTGCACACAGGTGAATGGGCCTTCCATGTTACACCTGACCCAGTGCCCCTTTTGGCCAATGAGAAGGGAACTTATCACCAGCTGTTTTCTTTTTAGTCGATTAAGCAAGTTTCAGTGTATAATCGTGGGTTTCCAGTGTGTTATGCTCTGGATGTTTGAAGTTCATGAGCTCACTTTGTCTTAGATGGGTGGAATTACTTTACATAGTAGTGATGAAGGCAGGCTCCAGACTAGCCTGATTCCGATCCTGGCCTTTCCACTGACTCTATTAAGTGACCTTAGCCTTCAGTATTGGACATGTCGCCTGATAAATACAGTTAATAATGGTGCAGACCTTATGGGACAACTGTGAGGATTAAATGAGCTAATGCTTGCCAACTGCTAAGTGCAGTTCTTGTCTATAGTAAGTATTCAATAAATGCCAGCTATTATTATGGTCCTAATAACTTTATTACTACTGTTTCAAAAATGTATTTTCTTATATTGTCTCAAGCCCCAGGTTAACGCAAGTAATGATTGTTCAGAGATTTCTTCGTGTTCACACTCAGGAGAACTCATTTTGAAGATTTATTTTTTTCATAATGCCTCTTTCCTTAAAGCCCTCTGGCTTCCCATCACCCAGACCATAAATATTTGTCAGAGTCACGTTGATTATTAATCAAATGGAGCCTAAAGACAATACTGGGGATTTGTTTTAATTGTTGTTTTGAAGAGCTTTCCTCAATACCCTAGCTTGTAAAAATGCCTAAAAGTTAAAAATGAAGTCAATTTGAATGAAATTCCCAGTTCTTGCAACTTTATATCCCACAGTCTGATACTCTGTAAAGAGAAGAAGTTTGTCAGATGATCAAGGTTTTGAGAAAGGAATCTCGTTTACATTGATTTTGTTTTGTTTTGTTTTTTAAAGTCAGGCTATGTAATCTGTGCCTGTTTTCACTTGTTCTTGGAGATTGGAAAGAACTTCAAAGCGAGTCAACATTTTGATGTGCTTTTGCCCTAACTTTCTGGAATGGTGTACCTAAAGAAATGGTCTTTTGTTATGAAAGAGGCTTAGCCCTTCTCTTTCAAAGAAAACCATCATTTCTCTAAATAAACTCTCCTGCTCTGATGGGCTTTTCGCTTCTTGAAACACGTTGTCCTCCCTCCTGCCCAGCTGGGTGTTTGCAGCGGAGTGATTCTGGTTTCCCTTTGTTCTCCCTGTCTGATATGCCTTTGATAGCGGATGGTTTCTCGCTCTCTGGGAGCAAATCCGGACGACCTGAAGGACCCAATTAAGATTAGTATTCCACGCTATGTCCTCTGCGGGCAAGGCAAGGATGAGCACTTCGAATTTGAGGTCAAGGTAAGTGTCCGTTGTTCACTCTTGGGGGAGAAGGAGGGGATTTGAGGCCGTGCAAGGCTTTTTATGTCTTTTGTCAAAGCAGATGAAGCTGTTGTGGAAATCCTGTTCCGGAAGACACAGGCCAGAGCGTGCTCTAAGCCAGTCTGTAGTAATCCCATAGAAGTGAGTGGCGGCTGAGCAGGCAGCCACTCTGGGAAGTTCCTGCCACCCACCAGCCCTGCATGAGGAGTCACCAACTGTCTTGATTTCAGCCACTGGGGAGACCCGCAGCTCTGGACAGGCTGAGATGGTTGGTCTCTCTAGTTACAGGCCTAAGCTCAATTTTTCTTACCTCTAAACATGGGAAAAACAATATTTATGTTAGACACGGTGAGGCTTAGAATCAGTGGTAGCGGGGGCTGCTTGTTGCTGCTATTTTCATTTCTGCTGTTTCTGATATAAAGCAAGAAGCTCTCCTACTTTGTTCAGGTATTACTTGTTTGATAGTTTTTCAGAGAGAGAAGGGCCTGTTTCCTTACATCATGCTTTCCGAAATAATGACTTCATTTTATTTCTAATTTATTTCTATTGACTCATAACACTTCAGTTAACTACTCCTGGCCATCATCCCCTCCTTAGAGAATTACTGAGATATCACTTCCTGGTTGTCAAGGAGAAGCCAGGGTGCACTGACATAATGAGGTCCAGTAAGATCACCTCTGTGTGGACAAGGAAGGGTGTTGGCGAGGTGGTGTTGTACAAATCTGCACCAGACTGGGGATCTGAATGTGGACAGTGGACTGACCCTGAGCCTCTGCTTCTCTGTTGATAAAGCAAGAGGACCAGACAGAACTGACAGACTCCAAATTTCAAACACCCTCCTCCCCCCAACACGCACACACACACATACATATATCCCCACCTCAGGGGGCAAAAACAACCCAGGTATTTATGTATCTATATGAGATTGTGTGTTGAGGAGACATGATACGGTGTATCATCATTTTTACTGTTACTCATCAGATTCTGCGGTTCCCTGTTAAAGTATACATGTCTATGGTCTAGTGCTTCCCATTGCCCCTGACATAATGTTCATGTGCTTTGAATGTGTCACCTTCGAAATGATTTGTGTAGCATTCATTACATTTGCACACACATGTAATGTTATTTATATTTATATACATACATTTTTGTGAAGGTGCATTTATATTTTTTACCTATTTTTAATCAGTGGTAATTTTACTAGTTGAAAACTATGAATCTGCAAAGAAGTCAACAGCCATGAAGGACATGTAACCATTTGAGTTGAATTTATTTTACTCTAACAGATAAATCTGCTAGAGAAACACAACTATTAAATTGATTTCATGTTTAGAACTTACATAAAGAAAATGTTTAATTTTTTCAACCAAATTGATTTAAATAAAAATTCCAAGCACCAAATAGCCCAGGTGGTGCAGAGATCTGAACAAGCTTGCAAAGATGCTACTGTCAAAACAAATTACAGACCCCAAACACAGGGAACCATGTGGGGCTCTGAGAGCTCAGTTTTCACATAAAACGCTTAGTCCAAATCCAGAGAGTTCTGCTTACTTTGAAAGTATCACAGAAACTTCTGGAAATGTGTCGTCATTCTGCGTGTTCTCTGTGCTTGTCAAAGGGTCTGTAAGCAGAAGCCCAGGAATGGGCTGTAATCATGAGCTCTGAAGAACTCAGAGGTTTCTGTTCTGAAAGGGCCTCTTGATGCCATCACAGGCAGGTGTACCCAGGGTCTCTGCTCCCACAGGATACCTGTCACAGTGGTGTCGGCCCCATATTAGAAACAGGCATGTGACTCTACTGTCCTTCTGAACCAAGTGAAGTAGTCCTTCTCCAGGCCAGGACCTAGAGCTATTAGAAGTGTTCTGAGTGCCCCAGTATCCTATCCAGTCATCTCTAGGTAAACTTGTCATGTCACTCAACCTCACTACATAGAGTCAGTGTGAGGAATGCATGAATTCTTGCACATCAATTGTTTGAGGTTTCAGCGTTGTGAAGCAATGGATCAAGCCATAGCCTATGTTGCTGATGTCCCGTATCAGAGCACTGGTTGGAGGCCCAGCTTCTCTGCTTCCTGCCCAGCTCCCTGTTAATGCGCCTGGGAAAGCAGCCAATGATGACCCAAGTAGTTGAGTCATCCCTACTACTTGGAAAATGCACATGGAATTTCTGGATCCTTGCTTTGGCTCAGCTCAGCTCAGCCTTGGCCATTGTAGTCATGTGGGAGCTGAACAGTATGTGGAAGATCTGTTTCTTTCCCTCTCCTCTCCCTGCCCCCCCAATCTGTCTGTCATTCTACCTCTCAAATAAATAAAGAACTTTACGAAATTGCTTGAAATAAGACCTACATATACCAAGTTCTAAATGTTTATAATTATAATTATGGTATAAATGTTTCTAATTATGAGTAATAAGTATTAGAGCCACTCAGTAACTTTCCATGTATGAATGTATGTTTATCAGAGTTGGTTTATTCTTTTGCTTTTTTGTTCCTCTTCATCATTCTGAGATCGAGTTTCTCTGCCCATGCATTTATCATCTGCATATTTCATGTACAGGCCTTGTTTTCTTTTTTTAAGATTTATTTATTTTTATTGGAAAGGCAGATATATAGAGAGGAGGATCTTCGTCTGATGATTCACTCCCCAAGTGGCTGCAACAGCTGGAGCTGTGCTGATCCGGAACCAGGAGCCAGGAACTTCCTCCAGGTCTCTCACACGGGTAGAGGATCCCAAGGCTTTGGGCCATCCTCGACTGCTTTCCCAGGCCACAGGCAGGGAGCTGGATGGGAAGTGGGGCTGCTGGGATTAGAACCAGCGTCCATATGGGATCCCGGCATGTACAAGGCGAGGACTTTAACCACGATGCTATTGTGCTGGGCCCAAGGCCTTGTTTTCTAACACAAATGATCACATGATAATATTTTGGCTACTGCTGAACTCAGCTTATGGTAAGAAAGTGGCTTTAAGAAAACAAATAAAAGATATTATTTTTTTTCTCTTTAGTTTTAGGGTTTTTTTTTTAAATTTTTTGGAAGGAAGCCTTGATATCGGCAGTTATGGATGTTTATATTAGTGTACTTTATACCTTAGAAAAATTCTTTGCTGCTTCTCCTAGATGTTCTGTGCTTGTTTTTCATCATCCTCGCAGATGCTGCTGCATGTGCTCTGTGGTCCTTAGGGAACCTAACCAGGGCTGCTGTCCCTGTGATCAGCCTGGCATGGGCTGGACAGTCTCATGATGTGGGACCCCTGTATGCTGTGTTCTTTCACTAGTGAGCACCACCAGCTTCTGAGGGGCCCAGCTGATTGGTGTGAACACCCAGGGGCTCACATAGGGGGAGCCTAGAAAAAGCCCATGTGCAGAGCTGCCCAAGTCCTCCCGCTCCAACCTCATGACATGCCGGGCCCCTGCATGCCGCCCGCCCTATGTGCTTTCTTCTTGCTCATCTCTTTCTCTTCCGGAGACAGGAATTATCAAGCATTAAGTCATTTCTTCTCCCTGGACATTTACATCTCATTTTATTTGTTATTATTTTTAAAGTCAGTAGCCCTGGTCTTGTATCTGATCTTTACTTTTTTTTTAATGTATTGATTTGGCAGGCTGAGGGACTAATAGAGAGCCCACATCTGGCTAGTTCACTTCCCAAATGCCTTGGAGCCAAGAACTCAATCTGGGTCTCTCACCTCAGTGGCAGGGACCCAAATGCTTGGGTTGTCCCCTGCTGCATGCCAGGGTGAGCATGGGCAAGAACCTGGAAGCAGGAGAGAAGCCAGGACTGCACTGTGCTGTGAGGGTATCCCAAGCGGGGTCCTCAGCACTGCACCAAGTGCTCGTTTTCATTCTAGTCCCTCATTTGATGGCTCTGCTTTGGATCCTGAGGGACTGTTCCAAGTGGAAGCTGGGAGTGGCATCTAGGGGGAAGGCAGCTGGATGGCAGGGCGTCCCTGAGCTCTTCTGATTTCTCATGGGTCCTGAGGAGGACTAACTGAACTGAAATTTTTTAAGCTTAAGAGGGAACTGTTTTATATCTTGTCCTCCTCTTCTTCTTCTTTTAGAGGACAAAACAACCTTTTTGTTGTTAAATAAGAGAATAGACACATAGATAGATTTTTCTCATTTGTCCTCAGCCTTTGATGAGCCATATCATACATACAGTGAAATGCACCCGCTGTTCAGGTACTTTGGTGAGTCTTGATGCATGCCTTATAATCTGTGTCCCCATCAATGTTTAGGACATTCTAGCAGCTTCAGAAAGTTTCATTGCCCTCTGCAGTCTGCACCCACATTCCTCCCCCCGGCCAGCACTCACCTACATCCCCGTGGATTAGTGGTGTCTGTTGCAGCACATACAGGAAGTCAGTCACCCAGCATCACAGGCATTGCGCCCCTTACAAGGCTTGCTCTTCTCACCCGAGTCATCGTGTGGACGTTTGTGCAGGTGGTGGGACAGGACAGTAGTTGGCATCATTGTGTAGCTAAAGACAACCCCATTGTATGAGTGTGCTGCCCAGGGTGCCTTCTCCTCTTTGTCTCAGAGTCTGTTTTGATATTCTGGCCTGAGAATAGAATACAGAAGGTTGCCCTGTCTGCGTGCAACCCCCACCCACCCACCTGAAGCCTTTATCTCCTGATCCCTGAAGGACCCAGGTCCAGAACCCCAGTGTTGGGATGTTAGTCCTCACTTCCTTAAAGTGATGCCTCCCAGGTTAATGGCACATCCTTCTGGAACTCTGTCCACAAAATGATGCGCATTGTGCCGTTCAGCCAATGGGGTGAGGAAGGGAGTCTGGCATCTTCCTGGGCTCCAGGTTGGTCAGCAGACTGCGTCTGAAATGCGTGCTTGCACTGAACTGGAGACATACACGTCAGTCTGCGAATTGGACAATAGCAGCATGTAAGAGCTCCCTCTTCAGGTGCTTAACAGTGATTGACATATGAAATCAATTACACTGTATTATGCTTGCCATTTTCAGTTAGCT